CTGGATAGCTGGCCAATCAGAGCATACCTCGCTTTTCAGACCAATGAGGTTTGTAAAAATCGACGCGTTTCAGAAGACGGGGCATAGAGGAGAAACAATAATGTACAGTATGTGGAAAATAATGTGTTTTTTTAACTTTAAACCTTATAAACACATTTCATTACACCAAATACACAAAATAATGTTCTTTTTAGCAGCATCATATGACCCCTTTAAAATAGCCACGTCTTTGCTAAAAGTTGTGAATTTGCAGTTTGAATTCAATCTTTACAAGATGATGTGTAATTGGAGACATTTAAATGATGCATCAAGACAGATTATGTCATGAAAACTCACATTGTTCTGATTTGAAGGTGTAAAGTCCTCTATATCTGACTCTACTGGAGGATGCAAATATTCAGTGTCATCATCTATGATAAAATCATAATAGTCCAGTGTTATTAATGTTTTACATTGACATTACAATATCTGTCATCAACATGCCAAAAACAAGCTATTATTCTCATGTTGACAAATAAACACATAAAGATCTTTGAACAAAAACACTCTACTTTTTGTAACTGAACTGGGTTATTGAGTATTACTGCAGTACTGTCTAATTTAAAGCTATAATAAACTGTATTAACAATTACCAGAATCTAACAAAATAAATGACACGTTCTTCTTCTTTTTGGGCAAATTCACTTCTGACGACCTAAAAAAAGTGCAAACACAAGATCATCTGAAATAATCACACTGTAATTAATAATGTGACAATGTTCTGTGATTAATCCAGTTCTGATGAGGATGCACTCACTCTGCACACTTACCCTGTAGATGAATCAGAATCTCTCTATTAGTAAATAAAGAAAAAGGAAAGACAGGGAATTACATCCAAAATTGTATTTATCTTTATTTCAGAATTGTGCAGTGATGTTTTAAGATGAACAGTCATGTGGTTAGGTAAAAGTCCATGTATGTGTTTATGAAGAGGCTGTAAGTGTGTGTGTGTGTGCATGCTGACCCTGTCAGGCCTTTTCATGTTAGGCCTTCGACCGTCTGGCGAACCTTGTAAACAAAAACACCAACTCAGAAAATTTGACAATAATTCTCACATTGACATTTCACATTTTCACAAGTTGCTTACAAATTTGCATCACTAAAACAAATACAATAAAAAAAATTAAAAAAAAAAAAAATCAGTTTATGATAGAATATCTGAATTTAAAATTGAAACACTTACTTTTTTGGGGGGATTCTGGATCATGTAATTCACAGAACAGTCTAAAATGAAACATTAATTAGTTTAATTTTACTACATCTAAAACATAAATTGCTAAAAAAATTCTTTCATCCTACATAAAATGGTCTTCAAGGGCTCTGGCACGATCCTCTATGGCGCAGGGATAATGGTACGAGCGCTTACAACGTTTTACATCACATCCCGCTGTAGCACCGTTTTTTTTACAGAGGTGGCAAAGCTAGAAATAAACACACAGCAGTTATGCATTCACAGAGAAACAACACAACAATATGACGACCGTTTGGTCACAGTTTACATTTAATGTACAGAAATATTCATGTTAAATTATAATGTTGTACTATGCTGAACAATACAAATTACCATTGCAATCAAAATAATTCAACCCTCTGGAGACTGTAATAATTTGCAAAAGTAATACAAATGAAAAGTGATAATGTCAATATATAATGTAATGTTTTTGTAGTATAGCTGTCATAATTATTCAAATCCTATGTAACAGTGCTGTTCTTATCTCATATTTGTATGGCATGGTACAAAATTGTGTTAAGTTCTCAGAGACACAGCTCTCTGGCACGATCCTCTATGGCGCAGGGATAATGGTACGAGCGCTTACAACGTTTTACATCACATCCCGCTGTAGCACCGTTTTTTTTACAGAGGTGGCAAAGCTAGAAATAAACACACAGCAGTTATGCATTCACAGAGAAACAACACAACAATATGACGACCGTTTGGTCACAGTTTACATTTAATGTACAGAAATATTCATGTTAAATTATAATGTTGTACTATGCTGAACAATACAAATTACCATTGCAATCAAAATAATTCAACCCTCTGGAGACTGTAATAATTTGCAAAAGTAATACAAATGAAAAGTGATAATGTCAATATATAATGTAATGTTTTTGCAGTATAGCTGTCATAATTATTCAAATCCTATGGCATGGTACAAAATTGTGTTAAGTTCTCAGAGACACAGCTTATTCATAAGTTTAAAATGTGTTGTACCAGAAAACCTTTGAAGATGTTGAAGAAAAAGCACAATATCATCAAAGGGAATAAAAGGTTTGATTAGAGCAACTGAGAAAAACCCTCAATTTACAACCAAAGACTTTGCATGTTTCCTCCTTTCATCAGGTCATCTTCAGAGTATAAGAAAAACACTAGACAAGCATGACCTTCATATTGACACATCTTGCCAAATGCCCCTCTTGAGCAAGAAGAACATAAAAGGCCCACTATCATTTGGATAAACCTGTGGACTTCTGAAAGAATGTCTTATGGAGTGATGTAACCAAACCCATGTATCAGCAGTGCATCTGGTGCAAATCAGGTAAAGCTTATGAGCAGAAAAACACCATCACCACAGTCAAACATTGTGGTGGACCGGTCTTGTTATGGGGCTGCTTTGCTGTTGCAGGAAGTGCTAACATTGACTGTATGAAAGACATAACATATTATTTGAAGTACTGGTCATTTTGGCAAAGACTGATGCCTTCGGTGCAGGGACTGAAGTTTGATGATCAATGGACTTTCCTGCAGGACAATCATCCCAAATTATACATCTAAATCTACTTAAAGCTTGGTTCAGGGATCGGTCATAGAATGTTCGAGTGGACTGTTCAGTCTTCAGATTTAAGTCTCATTGAAAATATTTGGTGTAATTTGACAAAAGCAGTGGCAGTATAAAAAAACAAAGATCATCAGTGATCTGGAAGCTTTTTCAAGCAAAGAATGGGCCAAGATTCCAGTAGAGATGTGACAGAAGCTTCTAAGCACTTACAGGCAGCATTTGGAGGTTATAAAGAATAAAAGATACTGCACAAAATTTTGTACATGAATGTTTAGAGCCAATTAGATTTTTTTTTTCCATTTTCCATCAACTTTACATTCTCACAATCATTCTTAAATGTCCTATAATGGCTTACCAATGCCTTAGTTGAATTGGTTTCACACAATTTTGTTCTCGGCAGCAAAATCCCTTGCAGGTGAATAATTTTGATTGCAACTTTACATGTATTGTACAGAATTTATACTTTCGGAACATGTCACATAAAATACCCCTAATACACTTATATTTTACACTTAAGCTGCAGTTTATTAATATCTATTGTATAGGGGTGTGAATCGGCACTGGTTTCATGATTCGATTCGATTCAGTATCACGATGCATCACGATTATATCAAATTTATTTTGTGCATTTTTATTAAATTATATAAGCAGGTTTTTAAAAATAATTATAAATTAATAATAAATCAAAACAGTTGTTAAGAATTTAACCAAGTAAATATAGCTTCAAAAACATACAAGCAAATATAAAGAAATAAAGATGGGAAAAGACAACAAGTGATAAACAAAAAGTACTTTTAGTATCTGAGAGTGCTTTAAGTATCCGAAAGTTTACAGACAATCATAGTTGGGTTTTTCTTTTTTTCCTCAGCATTGCCGTTTGATTATCATGAGTTCATAGACAGTTAATGCACAGATCTATTTCGACATATCAGATGTTTGTCCTGTTCTGAAAACATAACTGACAGTTTACACATCAATCTCGTAATTTTCGTATCATAAAAGTATTCGGAGCTGCAAGTGCATTTAACCGCAACCGCGAGCTTCAGGACAAACAAACACAAAGCGCACGCGAAAGTCTGTCAGTACGTGAGTTTCGTGCATCTAATACGTACTGCATTCCAAACGGCATAAATGAAAGCATATCTAAAGTAAAAGACCGAAATAACGGCGGATGGAAGCACATGTCTCGCGCATATCCTGTGCAAGTCCGCCGCGACTGTCTCGGGAGCGCACAAGTGCCATATGCGGGAAAAGCCAAGCTCAGAATCGATTTCTCAGCTTGATCGATTGCATCGATGCAACTATTACTTTTAACACCCCTACTATTGTAGTTTATCATTAAAGTATTGTGTATGGACACTGTGTTATGTGGGCTATTACACAATATATTTTGAGAAAAATATTCACCAGTTAAAATTAATTATAACGTTTTAGAGGCAGTTAATGTGTGTTGTGCATATGCTTTTGCAATGATATTTACTAGTCTTTTTCCTCTCTTCAGCTCTTTCTTTACATCTTCTACATCAAATCCAAACAGGTCGTCATAGGTGGGCGATTTCTTGCAGTAGATCCCTGATGCAAACAACTGAGGACACAATAAAATAAGATAAGCATTAAAAGTTATATATAGAAATTCTTAATGGATTTGCCTAGATTAAGGTGAAACACATTAACCTAATCCAAACAAAACTATGAGTAACAGCGAACAGCACTAACAATTAACTTACAGTACATTTTCGTAAGGGATGCAATATGAAAACATAGCCTAGGCCTACTTACCAAACAGTTTTGATGTGCGGAGATGTTTCCTTTGGAGGAGAGAGGCCCTGTGATTTCAGTTTCGTCTGATTTCTCGCAAAGTGCACAAATAATTTTATTCTGAGATTGAAATTGATCCGATCCCATGTTGAGCTCTGCTTGATGACATTCAACGACGATTCAAGTTTTTATTGCAATGTTCCTTTAAGTTTCGTTTTCATTTTATTGTGTAGAAGGCGGGTCATTTTGATCTTTGTCATCTTGCATGCATAAAAACACTCTTGTTAACTACTCGAGCTCCAGACAGTAATCTCGATTATCTCGGGCAGTACATTCAATCAAACAGATCTTCAAAACTCAACCAAATATCAAACTATATCAATTTATATAAAAGCCAAAGCTTGTTTTTTTTCATTTCCTGTAATCACAAACGACTGTGATTGGCCCATCATGACCGGTGCTGAGAAAAGTAACAGTACCACGTAAAGGCAATTATTTTGACAATCGTAATTCAATCGCAACTTTAAAAACATTACAATAGAGACCGAGCGCATTTAGGCCACGCCCACACCGGGGGGAAAAACAATCCAACCCTCTCCATTGACTTTATATTGCAGGAAGCTGCCTCCTTGTCCTTTCTGACTTATAACAAAAAAAAAAACAGAACAATGCATAAAACCTGCTGTGTGACAAGGTGGTCAGTAAACAAGCTAAAACCCCCAGAACTACGTTTTTATAAGCTGTCGACCCAAAAAACCGAGCGTTTAAGGACACAAATAGCTGTAGATGTCAGGGTATTCCACGTTGGGCCATTCACTTGGATCATTTCTCAAACAAAAGGAAGGTAAGGAAAAGGGACACTGACATAGACCAATACAATTTAGTTTCTCAATATGAAGAGTTCATTTGCAAAAACAGATAACTCCGTTTTTAACAAGTTTCAAAAATCATGTTTTTTCATTGTTCATTCCAATTAATCTCAGTCATACTGCAGTTGGGTTATCTTGATTAGGTTGAAAATAACTAAAAATACAGCTAACTTAACACAATAAAAACATGATAACATAATAAAAACATGATTTTTGAACATTTTTAGAAACGGAGTTATCTGTTTGTGCAAATAAACTCTTCATATATCTCCTCCTCTCAGGTTTACATAGAGTGGTGAAATAATCCTTTGACATGGTTAAAAATAATGATCATACTTAAATCATTATATGATATATATTCAAGTAGTCGGACTCGGAAATGTCATTGTGTATATTTGATCTGTTAAATTTTATCTATTAAAATAGGCAAAAGTCATTAGTCAACTATGGTTTTATTTTTATATGCATATATATATAAAACAATATTCATTTGTAAATGTATTTTACATACAAATGGCACAGGGTGATCACAGTCACTTTGAGAAACAACATCTGCATATATGATATGCTTGTTTTACACATAGGTCCTAGTTTCCTGCATTGTACAGTACACAATGATATGTCACATGCTTTCACATTGGAGATCACGGGAATTGACAATAGACATGCCATATCCCAATATGGACATCATTACTGTGACAGAAACAAATACTAAGTTTTACGGGATATGAAACATGTATCACAGCATACTATGAGACAGTGTGTAAAGAGCTGGCTCAGGTGTCTCTGTAAAACACATTATATTGGTGCATTCTTAGACGACACTCTTAAAAATAAAGCTTTTTGGAAAGAACTCTCTTAACAACAGTCATTTTTCACAGCTCTTTGGAGAGTCAAAAAGTTCAGTTAGTGTCAGTTGGTCAAGATGGTTTCTTATAGATTTAAAGAATAAAAAGGTCCTGTAAAACCCTTTTTGGCACTAACTTTTTGTGGCTAGTATGACCCCTGCTGGTAGATGTTTGGTTCTAAGAAGCATTTTTCTCCATTGACAGCCATTTAAAATTAGCTGCATATTCTGACAAAAAAGCATTTTGTCACACTGCCATTGTGATTACTAATGGACAGCTTTCTCCATGTAGGCTATTCATTAAAACTCTTTGGTTCTACCAGAAACCTTTATTTTAAAGAGTATGCAGATCTTCAAAGTTAATGGGTTATATACTGTATGACTCATTTCCCTATTTTCAAGAGTTATGCACGAAACCTAGCGTATTTGCTGTACACTTATGGCAATACGCACACATTCACACTTATCTCTCATTTCTCAGGATCCTCAGTCTCTTCAGAACACTGGATCTCTTCCTCTATCCTCACAGACTGCAGCTCATCTGCACACTGAAATAAAGATAAAGAAATGCTTAAAACATGACACCCTTTTGCTTTTAAGTCTGACAGTGAAAAACAGACTTGGTCTCGTACCATTTTATCTTCCCTCTCCTCATCTGGGTCAGAGGTCACCTGCTCCTCTGCACTAAAGTATCCATCATGCTCCACAGAGGCATCCAACGAGAGAGATCCTTTAGTCCAACCTGAGACAGAGAAGAAAATAGTTAAAGACAAAAGATATTGTAGGTAAACATGTAAATGAGGTCAGAGATGACAGAGAAAGTACCACTGAAACCTCACCGTGATAGACAGAAGACAGACTAGTGACCATTTCCCAGAGCACAGAAAGAGCATGCGTGGATGTGTGTCAGTGAAACGTTCCGGGTTCGATACAAGTTTATGTCTATCAACAGCATAAATAAAAGGACAATTTGTCTACAAATAAAACATTTCTGTACAGAAGAATGAATAAAAGCGCTTTTCTGCTGCACATTTCTGCTTTGAAATCCTTTGTAATGTCCTGCTTCATTAACTTCCATTGTAAAGACATTTCTCTCTCAAACTGAGGGACTAGTCAAACATATTTTTTGTGTAACTGATGCTGTCGAACCCGAAACAATTTTGTAAAGACAGACGTAGCACCTCTCAGAAAGCATCAAATGAGATGCACATATAACCTACAAACATATGCTATCCTATAACATCTCAGTGGATTATGCATAAGTGTGGACATACGTGTGTGCTCAGTATGTGTACCTCTCCTACGATTCTGAAACAGGCTTGATGTACTGAACCACCTGACTCCGCCCATGTTAGGGTGTGGCCCTGTTTCTGGGAGGAAAATAACCAATCAGACTGCATCTCTGCATCTTCTTAGTTATTTCTTAGAATGGCACACCTGATAGAGTTTTTGTGTGAGCTATTCCTTTAAGGATCAGCTCATGTCTTTACCCTTTAAAGAGCTTGGTGCCTTGGTGATAATGAATTAGGTATTTTTAGCATCACCTATTTTCTATTTTTAACAATTAAACTCTATATTTGATTTTCAGTTTGCTGAAATAGGTCACCTAGAGGTGTAGGATCACTCCGGATATCCTGTCGTTTTGGTTTAGTCTCAAAACTGAATGAAGACCCTGTAGCCATCAAAAGAAACAGAAAGAAGTTAAAGGGGAAGTTCAATCAAAATGAAAATTCTCTAATGACACGAGTTTTTAGCTCACCTTTTGCTCTCCCTGTCATTCTGGGCTCTAGAATGTTCTCAAGTTCTTTGCCTCTTTCCTCGTCTGCCTTTGGTTTGTCCACTCCTCCACTCCTGAGGTTACTACGTTCATTTCTCACCAGTCTGAAGATGAGTTTCACTTATGAAATGAGCTCATATATGTATGTGTAAATGTGATGGCGTGTAATCGTACCTGTTAGTTGAGTTGGTATCTGAGGAGAACTGCTCAGGGGCCCTCTGTTGACTTGCCTCTACATAACACAAACATTCATTTGATGCATCTTAGTGGTAATTCTGCATTTTGCAAGTTATCTGAATGAATGAATCACATGTTGTAAACCCTCCTCAACTACTTATTTACGAACCAACCTAAAACCAGGTCCATACCTTTGCAGGCCTCCAGCTGTCCTGTTAGAAGTTTCCGGATTTCTGTTACCCAGATGGTCTTAACCTCCTCAGACACGGCCTACAGAATAACATATGTCACAAAGCCACATATAAACCCAAGTTATCTGATCCATGCAGACTGAACACATGTAACAGTCTTCTTAGAAAATCTGACCTCAAGACACACACTCTTGTGCTCACCTGTACTGTGTAGACCTCATCTCTTGAACTGGACCAGATCTCAAACTTCTTGCTGTCCCCTTTAGCATGCTCTGTTATTCCAATAGCAGCCATCTAATAAAGACAGAACAGAGACCATCAGGTGTGCAGGCTATTTTTTTACTTTCAAAATAAAACAAATTGCAGTATGAAAATCACTCTTTTTGTGACCTTACTCATTTAAATATTTAAATATGCAACTTAAACATGCACACATTTGAATTATAGACTCCACAGAACCAACAGATGTTTAACCAACAGAAATTTTCATTTAAGTTTGTGCATGTTATAAAATATGCTTCTTGATTTTAGGATTAATGAAAGATTACACTTTTTAAAATGACCCATAAAAATATGAAATGTCACATTTGCTATTTTAGAAAAATGTCAGATGAGGAAAATAACCTTTTAAAGACACTAACGAGCAAATTTGACAATTTTCCTCAGTTCAGGAGAAATGCCATGCTTAACAGAACATAGCATAAAAGAGGTGATTTATCAATATGAGCTCAACATCATTTTGTGAAATCTTTAGCTAAGTATTATTACACTAAAGACACACTTACGCTGAGCTCCTGTTTGAAGCTATATGAGGGTGCTTTCTCGTATCCCTCTCCGCTCTCCTCTCGTCTCTTGCAGAAGAGCAGAGCTTTCTCATGCAGGAACAGGTGTCTCTGCATGGGCTTAAACCTGGCAAGCTCCATCACCTTCACGTGACCTCTCTTATGCTCCGCCCACACGCTGAACGACCCCTGCATCAGCAGGCGACCCAGGTCTCCAAGGTTACCCTGGATGGAATCAATGATCATTGCTTGGAATATCGTGGAATAAAGAGGAGTGAAAAACATTAATGAACAGTACTGGGTAAGATGAGAGTTGTGTGTGCATATGTGTTTTACCTCATATCCTGTGATGGCGATGAGGTGCATTGAGTCATTTACAGCCTTCAGGATACCCAGTATGGAGGAAAGAGCTGCCTGCAGCTCCACTGAGCCTTCACAGCCTTTACTGTACTTAATCATCTCCTAAACACACACACAAACACATACATTGAAAAAATCTTGTTATCGATTATATGACCCCTTTAAAACAGATCCAGTGAAACAGATTATTAAAATAGAAGAAGTTAGGGCAGGGATCCATTGATTTTTGATTGGATGAAGACAGATATGAATGTGAGTTTGCAGTCGATTGTACGAAAGAGGGAGAGGTTTAAGCAGAGTAAACGTTTGGAGATATGTCACCAGACACAAGTCTGTTTTCATCGGAAGATTTAAAACACATTTTTAAAAATGAAATGTATACATGGATGAATCATTCAAAATAAGATCAACAATATGCATTTTCATTTCATGCTGAATTTAAGATGCATTTCGACATTTATCCCATATTTAGATATCTAAAACAAACACTTCAGTTATGACATCTCCGTACACACACATAATGCAGTACCTTCAGCAGGAGTTGGTATTTAGTGATCCTCTGCACAGGCTTCAGTAAGTATGAGTCCAGTCCTAGTTTGTGCTCTAGTTTCTTCTGACACTCCTGATGGCACAAACACAATTTGATAAAGTTGTTTAAACTGCACTCTGTCACAGAGAGGGCCTGATGTCATCAACAGATTGCGGTTAGTGTATATGTGTTTCTGTGTGTGAGTGTGAGCCAGGGTTTCCTCCTCCTCAGATACAGAAGGATTGCGACTGCTCCTGTCAACTTGATCAGAGTTTACCTACACAAAGATATTCATTACTGAGTAACAGTCAAGTCACTTGCAGTGTTCACTATAATAAAGAGAGGTATATATAATTTGCTTATACAGAGAAAGTGATTTAAAATCACTAAAAAGAAAGGACAAACACTAAAGGCATTGTAGATGAATTAGACATACTTGTTTACAGGACACCCTGCTGTCTGAGTCCTCACTAATACAGATGTTCTCATGCTCCCTGTGAGCTGAAAGAGAGAAATAAACCAATCGCCTTCATTTTACACTTAAAAAAGATAGATAGATAGATAGATAGATAGATACCAGGAGATGAGAGTGACTCTGGTCGTGGGGCCACAGGTTGGACAGGTCGTGTTTGTTTGGCTGCTAGTTTCTTCAGACTGACCCTCCTCCTCTCAAACATCTCCTGTAGTGAGGCTTTCTTCTCAAATGCACGCTTTACTTGCTCCTGTACCATTACACATTACAGTATACAATATAACACAATATAATACATTATACATCATTACACTTTTTTAAAACCACAAATACAGAATCTGAATCACGTACTCTGTATTTTTTTATCATTTGTTAAAGATGTAAAAAATGTCTTAATTAATTCAACTCTTTTTATTAATAAATAAAAATATTTGGCAAACTATCTTTTTCCCATTTCATTTTGTGCTAAAAAATGAACTGAAGTAAAAAAACTGAATCATAAATGAATTGCAGGCATTGTTATGATTTCATATTGCCATACCCTGAGCTCATTGTTCAGTATGTTCTCATATTCCAGCCAAACTGTGCTGATCTCCCACTGCTGTTTCTCATTGGCTGTCTCCAGGTAACACTCCAGCTCTGACAGTGCTGACTCCGCCCCCTCCTGTGACTGGCACTTGTCAAGAGGCTGTGACGCTAGCATGTAAATCCCATCATCACACCATTTACACACCTAAAAGCGAAAAGGAACAGAACGGAACATGCTGGAAACTCATTTGCATACACAGTACATATGAAAGTGTGCTATGTATGTCTGTCTGTGTTTGTAGAAAATTTGCATGTAACTGTGCAACTATGTGAAGGTGAGGAGTTTAAACACCGTCACGATAATGGGTGCTTTATGGGTGGTGTAGGTTACTGGAATGAATATATTCAAACATAAACATAAATGTGCATGTATTTCTAGTCACCATTTCCAATCTTCTATGTAGCTCCATAGCCTGTGTCAGCATGGTCCTCTTGTCTTTGAGCTCTTGGGTGAGATTCTCTCTCACTCTCTGTAGCTCATTGCATTTCACTGCAACAGTGTTGTCAACATTCTGAGAGCTGTCAATCAAATACTGGCCCTCTGCAACCACAGACCTTACTCTGTCCAGCACTTCCTGCGGATAAAGGAATTGTGTTAGCAAGAGAGGAGGTACAAGGGTTATTGGAAGCTTTCATATAAATTAGACTGACACATTCATGCATATAGGTGTGTGGATGCACGTTTGCGACTGTAAGCATAACACACTAAGATTATTCAATGGGCGGAGACTCACACAGGCTTTCTTCTCTTGATTGGTCAGCTCTTGAAGGAGGTGTTCTGTTTGGGCAGAGCTTATTCCAACGTCTGAGAAAGCATTCAGCGTGTCTGTTGTCTGCTTCAGGTCTGTTCGCAACTACAAGACCATAGCAAATAAAAACAGTGCAAATGTTATTAATGAATCTTATGTTTAGCAGTAATAAGAATAAGCTATATAAGCATGAATGTTTTTAAAAATGCAAGACCTGTTGAAAGTTGTGCTCAAACTGGCAGAGTTTCAAACATAGATCCAGTTTATTTTGATGCTGAATCCAGAACTCATCAAATGCTGTAGAGCTCTCATTTAACTGGGATAACAGCCTGTAAGTCATCAGGGAATAGAAGAGAGAAAAATAAATAATCAGGAAATGACTGACAGTGCATACATTAGACAAAACAAATATTATAAAATGAGATGAAATAGTGTGAAAACGACAAGAATTGTTATTATTAGTTAAAACTAAATCTATTTAAATGTAATTTGATGAAAAGGAGTAATGTAGCTTTGGCAACTAACTGAAATAAGTTTAGGCTGAAGTACAAAAGTAACTAATACTAAAACTGAAATAAAAATTACGGCTATATAGAAATATATGTATATAAACTAAAACTAAAATTAAAAATTAAATAAGAAAATATAAATATAAAAGCTAATTCAAAGTATTAATATATACTATAATACTACATAAATAATATTACAATAAATGCAGCCGTGAAGTGTAAATCCACTCAGTTGTGCTATCCAATTCGCTCGAGTATAAGATAATGGTGAGGGGCGGATTTAGTGATTTGGGGGCCCCAGGCAAAATACAGGAATGGGGCCCTATACAATTTCACACATTTACAACCTTGAGGTTCCTTTCACTGTTGCTCGCTGCTGCACGACCGTGTCCCATTGTGGTTTCTAATCTTTTAGAATTTTCATGTACATGTTATAAATAAAGGATTTCTTTAATGTTGTAAATCCCTTGTTCACATTTAAACAGGTTATAATAGTATTAGAGTAGGTTGGACACTAGGTGGTGC